ACCAATGCAGATGCAAATTAACAAGCAATTATGACAAAGATTGTCAGGAGATATTGTGGTGAGAGCTGGCTGTTAGCCAAAGTTGGTAGACAGTAATTGACGTCAATGTTTATGTCCCCAGTATTGGTGGTCAGAAAATGAGAACAAAGGCTTTGCGTAGGCACACACAGTTAGCATATGGATGATGATCTGACACAGCCACAAAGAGATGCAAGGTTAACTTTCTGTGAGAAACAACCAATCAAAAGACTGTATTTTCTACTAACAATAATCTGCAATAATGTATATTAAAATCTATAAATATGTGTTGATTTTCCTTAATAAACGATATATTGCCTGGCCCTTGTCTTCTGTTGTTACAATATGATTACATCATTCATGGAGAATTCAAATCACTTCACTACTAGCATACATAAAGCTCGTGCTGAAGATGTTCTTTTTTAGAAGAACAACGAAATCTTCACAATTAAATCATCCATCACTCAGAGAACACCGGTACATCAGACTCATCCATCTGAGCTACACATCTCTATTATTTCATATTGATTATGTTTTCTTGATAACTCACACAATTCAACGTTATTGTTATTATTACTGCTGATATTATTCAGTGAATCATGTTGTTGTGTCATTGTACGAATTTCTACCTGGGTAGAGTATACCAACCACTCAGTGCTACTGTGTTTTTTCTATTTGTTTTCTTATTCCCTTACGTTCCGAGTGGAACACAGGGCTTCAAGCTAGAGGCTTGAAGTTTCAGTAGCAGTGGTATTTATTTTTACGGGATGGGATTGATAGCCTTATACTCAACCTTCCCTCTTTACCAGTCTTATTACTAGCTTAGTGAGGTAAAGGAGTGCATTGGCCGGGGACCAAACCACGAACCACGTGAGGCGTAGTTGGCGAGCATTCTACCGCTGTGCCACCGACGCACGTGTTATCGAGTAATTCATCGGAAAAGAATAGATCTAAAAAGCATCTCTCTCTTAATTATATTCCTCTTATTTCAAAAATTGTGAAAATTCTTTTAAAAGAATTTCTAAAACAAAAAAACAAAAAGAAATCGGAGATCAGCTGAGTAGACACTTTTTTAGTCATGAACTAGATTAAGACGAGTATTCAACAAGTATTGCAAACAATGATCTAAGGTCAACTTAAATCCTGTGTGTAAATGCTGTCTTATAATAATAAGTTAAACACATTATAGTAACATCAGTTAATCTATATTGATCAGAATCATAACATAAACACTATACGACTGAGTGATTGCCTACAATTTTACACAATAGATTAAATTTCATATTATCTTTTATAAGAAACTACCATCTCTTATGTAATATTAGGTAGAAATATAGTTTGTTGATATAGTTGTAAGTGAATGGCACGATTCACTAGCGGAACTACGACTGTATTTTGATGATCAAAAAATGAGATTTTATTAACAGAAGTTAGAATTGGATGGAGGATTTTATCATGAGCTAACTGACATCAGTTAGAGAACCACTGGAAAACATGGGAGTACCGGACAGCTTTTTCGTCCTAGTTTGGGACTCTTCATCAGCACGCATCCACCGGGGTTTGAACCCAGGACCTTCTGGTTACAAAACGAGCTCGTAGACCATTGAGCCACTGCGACCCGATCCTCGGTTCAAACCCCGGTAGGTGTGTGCTGGTGAAGAGCCACAAACTAGGACGAAACAGCTGTCCAGTACTCCCATGTTTTCCAGGGTTTCTCTAACTGATGTCAGTCAGCTCATGATGAAATCCTCCATCCAATCAAACAAAATCCCTACAAAACCAATACTTGAGAAGTTAGAATTCTTGAGTCGTTGAACTCTGTCCCCATGGCTAGATAGTCAGAAAGGTTCTCCTCGTAACCTGAAGATCCTAGTTCGACCCCTAGCGATAGAATCATGATTGCACAGTGCTGAGGAGTTCAAAATTAGAACGAAATAGATATACAGTACTTCCTACTGGTTTCTAATGGTTCTCTAACTTGAAATTAGAATAAAGTACACCTAAGAGAAGAAAGATTTTATACTACAACTATTCATATATTCAGAGTTACCAGGAGAGCCATATTTGCAACTCAAAGGCAAATTCAAGTTGACACTGATATTGTCACGCAAAATATGCAGGAAAACTTTACAATCAAACTATTAATTTCAAGAAAGAAATCAGATTACGCTACATCTCTTCGTAAGAAACGTATAAGGTATTCGTATCACCACTGTAGAAACATTTGCATATACACTTAAATTTAGAGATGATTTTTAGCTCAGATGGATGATTTTGATGTGGTTATGTACGCTGAGTTGAGTGATTGCATTGCAAAGCTTTCATTGTCCATCTAAACATGTTCAACGCAAAATTTAATATGAAGTGAATTATTTGGTATTAGATGGTTGGATGCGTTGAGAACTAGTGAGCTAGTAATCTAGGCGAGGTTCTATACTCAAGATCAGATGGCCGGAAAGAATCACCAACAAGAAACTATGGGAACAAACAAAACAATAACCAATCGCTCAACAAATATGCAGGAGAAAGTGGAGATGGATTGGACACTCGCTGAGCTGAAGAGGCCGCTGGGTGACATCGCGCGTCAGGCCAGTGCTCGAGTGGAACCCTAAAGGGAAGCGGCGAGTGGGACGTCCAAGGGTGACATGGAGGAGATCGTGTGAAGAAGAGTTGAAACAGTATGGACTAACATGGATGCAAGTGGGAAGTACAGCAGAAGACAGAAGCAAGTGGAGACGTGAAGTTGAAGCCCTATTGTTCCCAAGGGAACAATAATAATAGATGGTTGGATGCAATCGGCAGGAAGTCTTGGACCTAGGTTTCGTGCTAGTTGGCACCCACCACCAGTCAGCAAGGTGTATCTACAACCTTGAAGGAGCTCATATTCCACCCCTCTGATATTCGAACCCGCGTCACCTAGTTGTTGACTAGTGTCCAATCAAAAATATTCGATAAAGTCCTACAGCAGGTCGATCTCGGGTCCGAATAGCCAGCTCAGTGATAACGTCTCTGACTGCGACACTGGGTGATGCAGGTTCTAATCTCAGAAGGGACATGAGTCACTTCAAGATTGCAGATACACCTAGCTTACTGGTAGTGGATGCCAACTAGCACGAAACCTGGGTCAAAGGCTTCCTTTGGCGGATTTCCTCCAACCATCTAATACCAACAATTCAAAGTGCACTGTGATGTCGAGCCACCTAGTGTGGTGGCCACATTACAAACTTGACTGATAGAATTCTGTTTGCTCCAAAGGTAGGACTAGACGCATTACTCTAGTTAGTGACTACTGTCCAGTCAGAAGTGAATTTATTTGAATTCCCTATGAATGGTGTAATCAAGTCTGCTGACAGTCTTTGCTTGTTAATTTACATCCTTATTGGTCATTTTTGCTGATTTGGAATTTGAACTTTCTTGTTATGTGGTTTAGTTTTTATTGGTTGATAAGTTTCATCTATAGTAATGAGTCTGTTAATCGATGATTCATCTGAGTGGTAGGCTTTTGGAAATTTCTCCATATACCCAATAAAGTTGGTGTTCTTAATTGCCTACGTACACTGATATGAATGGAATACATCTCTTGTCTTTTGACACCTAGTTTATGATCTTGGATACACGGAGTCAAAGGGGACGCTCATTCTTACCAATGTATCGTTTATTGCAGTTGATACACTTTATATTTTAGATGATGGTGTTGATTTTGTCTTCTTTTACTATGGGTTCTTTTGGTTTGCACAGTATTAAATGAAATGATTTTGTTGGCTTTTGTGGTATATCTATTTCGAATGGTTTCAGTATTCTTGCTGTTGCTTCAGAAATTTTTATTATATATGTGTTAGGATGGACTTTCTTGCAGTTTTCGAGGATGATTTCTTGCTCCTAGTTTGATCTGAGTTAAGACACTTTTTTGATGAAATTATATGAATATCCCATTTTTCTTGAAAACAATCAGTAAAAGTAGAATTTAATTTGTGGATGCTGACTAGCAGTGGAATCCAGGATGCGCATTTCGTCCCATTTGGGACTCGTCATTGGATGTACCTGCATATCCCAGTGAGTGATGATGTTTCCACCGTCGAAGCAACTGCACAAGAAGTCGACATGTCAACGAGAGACCGGGCACTTCGGTCCCATCGATCGACGGGGAAATCTAAAATTCAATTAAATTAATATGACCCGTTGCACAAGAGGTGGCTCTCGTGGCCTGAGTAGTCTAGTAGTTAACGCTTTGGCGTTTGAAGCTATGAACAATGGGTTTGAACCTCGGTGGGAACATCATCACTCACTGGGAAATGCAGGTACATCCAGTGACGAGTCCCAAATGGGACGAAATGCGCATCCTGGATTCCACTGCTAGTCACCATCCACCAATTAACTTCTAATTACATGCCCAGAACATCGTCGAAGCATCTGCACAAAAAGTCGACATGTCAACCTGAGACCGAGCACTTCTATCCAATCGATCGACGGGAAAATCTAAAATTCATTTAAATCGGTAAAAGTATTTCTCTTCATTATTAGAGCATCACAGTGTCTTTTAACTCTTCTGTATAATGTTTGTACCCAGTTGACTGAGTAAACCATTGGATTATTGCAGTTGAAGTTGACTATTTAATCTATGTGTGTTGATTCCCACTATACTTATGTTTCTAGATTTCCCGCTTTTGTTCTCTTGACTGAAATATCTAAGAAAGAAATACTGTCATTTGACTACTCTTCTCTTGTGTATTTGATATGTCTTCAGATATGTTGTTGATGAATTTTTGAGCGTATTCTAATTCTTTTGGTTTGATTATTGGTGGTAGAGGTATCATTTGTAGTCCTCTCATAGCAACCTCAGCAAATTATTTCTGATATGAGCGACGATCTTATCGGTATTCCGTTTATCTGTTCCTTTGTAACATTTAAAGTTTATATTACAAATAAATATTTAATTAAATTCAGTTTAGATAATCCCCAGTCTCTTCTGTTTCTTTTTCTAGTGTTGTTCAAACAACTAAGAAACCAACGAGTTCCACACAAAAGCAGCCTGTAAGTGTATTTACTACCATGCAAACTAATCAATTATACATAAAATTTACTTTTTATTTCTTTTATGATAACACCATAAGATATAACGTTTGTTTTCATTCCTTTTGCGTTCTGAGTTGGATACAGGACTTCGAGCGAGAGTTCTGAAGTTTCACTAGCGATAATGTTCTTTTAACAGGATGAAGTTGCTAGCCTCACGCTCTTCCTTCCCACTTTACCGGGCTTACTACCCATTAAATGGGGTTTAGGAGTGAGTGCGTTGGCAAGAAGTCGGACCCCGGAGCACCACACGTTCAGATATAACGTTACCTAATGTCTACTGAGAATTTCCAAAAAACGACTTCAAGTCATATTAAATTGAAGTAGAAGTGTAACGACAGAAGACAAGTGCCAGGCAACAGATCGTTTATTGAGAAAATCAACAGATATTTATAGTTTTTTATGTACATTATTATTCGTTATTGTTAGCAGAGAAGCAACGTCTTCTGATTGGTTGTTTTCCTGCTGAGGTATTGTCATCTTTTTGTTGTCGTTTTTTAGACAGTCCAGTGATATATCTGCGATCCGTATCCTCCCACGCTAAGTCTGCTGTGATTGGTTGTTGAGTTAGTCTTTGTTCTTGTTTTTTCTCATGACCAAGATATGGAACGTAAACATTGACATCAATTGTTGTCTACAATTTTGTCTTGCAGATACCTCTTACCACAGAAGTAATTGCTAACTACTCCGGTTTTGTATAATCAGAATCGATATAGTGAAAACTAATTACCAACTGCTGGGCGAGTAACATTTACATATCTGTTTAAATCAATTTTCGTTTTCCCGTTGTTTGACTGAACCGAAATGTTCGGCTTCTGTTGACATTCAAGCTCCTAGTACGGACACTTCGACAATGTGTGAGGACTAATGTTGATGTTGTTTGGTGGATGGTGACTATCAGTGGAATGACGGATGCGACTCGAACCCTAAAAAATGATAACATCCTCCTTGCAAAAAAGGGTGGATGTCGTGGCTGAAGAGGTCTAGTAGATAAAGCTTTGGCGTTTGAAACGAAGCGCACTGGGTTCGAGCCCCAGTAGGAAACACCACTATCTACTGGGAATAGCAAGTACATCCAGATGATGATTCCCAAAACTGGACAAAGTGAGCATCGTACATTCCACTGCTAGTCACCATCTACCAAAGAGTATCAGAATCGATATTTCTGTTAGATCAAATTAATCTGGTCAACAAGTGAAGAAAATTATTGTAGATGCGTTATTTTTTTTCTTTTTCAAAATTGTGTTGCCTGACTTGAAAGTGAATTTCAGAATAAAAAGGATTAATGTCTCAGTACATTCCCTTTCTAGATAACTCCTAAACTTTTATCATGATAATTATAAAAGTATAGGTATTGTTAACATAGATAATAATCTATGTGATGCGTGATCAAATTTTTTTCCGAATAGTTCCAAAATAATTGGACTTCGAGTAAGAAATATACCTGTAAAAATTATATTTGTCTAATTTCAGCGAAATTGAAACACGTAATTTCAACACGTTTCGTTCGGCAAACTGGTTCAAATTTCTTATTTAATTGAATTTTAGATTTTCCCGTCGACTGATTGGACCGAAGTGCTCGGTCTCAGGTTGACATGTCGGCTTCTTGTGCAGATGCTTCGACGACGTCTGGGCATGTAAATATTATTATTAATTAATGTATAGCTTGACTCCACAGTGTATTTTTGGTACAAGTATGGAATTTTCAGCATGTGATATCGGTAGCCCAAATTTTGCAGGCCGACCATTGATATCCGGTGTGCGTCGGCAGGGGATCGAACCCCAGAGCCCTAACCGCTGTGCCACCGACGCACTAGAGGTTAATTGATGGAGGGTGACTAGCAGTGGAACATCATCATCCACTGGGGAATGCAGGTACATCCAGATGACGAGTCCGAAATAGGACGAAATGCACATCCTGGATTCCACTGCTAGTCACCATCCACCAATTAACCTCTAGTTCAAATTTCATCTGGGAAATTAATCAAAACTAAAATAACAAAGGTTCAAGTATAAAAAGGACATATACATGATAGAAACGGGACACAAGATTGACTTTGATAGGACTAAGGTTCGACAGAAAGGTTTTGGTTCGTATAAAGAAGGACTGACTGCAGAAGCCCTACATTTATGGGTGAATCCCAACAGTTTGAAAAGACGTGAAGGTGTGATTTTGGCCTGATGCGTGGCAGGTCCTAATCAATAAATAAAAGTGGATATGTATCACGAATCAATTATACTTTATCTAAATTCCTGATTGTCTATATTTTCTTATGAACTGGCTAACAAATTATTTACAATTCTTCCCTCATGTACACATGTTTACACACACACATACACACACACTGTAACAACAAAAGGCAAGACACGGAAGCCAAGGTATATTTTTCACTAATCAAACCGCTTTATATATATAGTGTATATTCTTTAACCAATCACTGAGCGTGTGACTTTGGCTTACATTAAACGACATGAAATAGGATGTTCAAATAAACATAGATTCTGTTATTATTATTGTTCCCTTGGGTTCCTAGTGGAACATAGGGCTTCAACTGCACGTCTCCACTTGCTTCTGTCTTCTGCTGTTCTTTTCACTTGCGTCCATGTTATTCCATACTGTTTCATCTCCTCCTCACACGATCTCCTCCATGTCACCCTTGGACGTCCCACTCGCCGCTTCCCTTTCGGGTTCCACTCGAGCACCAGCCTGACGCGCGATGTCACCCAGCGGCTTCCTCAGCTAGTGTCCAATCCACCTCCACTTTCTCCTGCATATTTGTTGGGCGATTCGTTCTGGTTTCGTTTGTTCCCATAGCTTCTTGTTTGTGATTCTTTCTGGCCATCTAATCTTCAGTATGGAGCGAAGACAGTTGTTGATAAAGGTCTGCAACCTGTTGAAAATATTCTTGGTGACCCGCCAAGTTTCTGATCCGTAAAGCAAAATTGATTTGACGTTTGTATTGAAAATCCGAATTTTGTTGTTGATGGTGAGTGACGAAGATTTCCAGATTGGTTTCAGGTGGATGAATGTGTTTCTCGCCTTCCCGATTCTCGATTTGACATCCTCGTCCGTTCCTCCTGTGGTTGAGACAATGCTCCCCAGATAAGTGAAAGAAGTAACCTCTTTCAAATCCCTCCTGTTGATGGTGATTGTCGCAGGATGTTGCTGCAGTTGTTGTTGTTGGTTGATTATTTTCATAACGTCTGTCTTGTCTATGTTCACCTGCAGTCCTGTCTTCACCAGCTGCTTCTTCGACCAGTTTGTCGGTTTCCGCTTGTAAGTCTTCGATTTTGTGTGACATCAAACATAAATCACCCACGCGCGAAATCCAGGTCTTCTAGTTTCTTCACGTCGGTCCAGGATATCCCTGTCTTCTCCTTTCCCACTGTCTGACGCATAATCCAGTCCACCACAATTAGGAATATCATTGGTGATAATAAGGACCCTTGTCTGACTCCTGTGTTTACCCCAAAAGCCTCGCTGAGTTTTCCATTGTGAATCACTTGGCATGTGCCGTTGTCGTACAGCTGTTGAATAAGGTTGATGAATATTTGGGGTACGCCGTAGTACTTGAGTAGTTTCCAAATTACTTCGTGGTCAACGCTGTCGAAGGCCTTCTTGAAGTCTATAAAGTTGAGGTAGAGATTTGATTGCCATTCCATGCTTTGTTCGATGATAATGCGTAGAGTTGCAATTTGGTCAGAACATGATTTGCCTTTCCTGAATCCAGCTTGTTCTGGTCGGAGTTCTGCATCCAGTGCCTCCTTTATTCTCTCCAGGATGATGCGACTCAGGATTTTACTTGGCGTCAACAGGAGCATGATTCCTCGCCAGTTCTTGCAGAGTCCCAGGTCGCCCTTCTTTGGTAGTTTCACCAGGTAACCTTTCCTCCAGTCAGTAGGCACCTTTCCCTCTTTCCAGATCTTTTGCAATAATGGAGTCAGCATATCTGCCGTCGTTTCTGGGTCCGCTTTCAGTGCTTCCGGGGGTATTCCATCTGGTCCAGCTGCTTTTCCAGCTTTCAGAAGCTTGATTGCATTCACGACTTCAGTTTTCGTTGGAGGATTGGTGTCAACTTGCAGTTGTGTACGTGCTGTTGTTGGTATTACTGGACGGGTTGTAGGTGGTGGTCGGTTCAAGAGTCCTTTGAAGTGGTCCGCCCATTGTTTAATCTGTCTTTCTTCTTTGGTAATTGGGTTCCCTTGGCTGTCTTTTATAGGTTTCACTTGTGTTGATCTCTTCCCGGATAGAGACTTGGTTATCTGATATCATGTCCTCAGGTCCCTTTTGCCTGCTGCCTTCTCAGCTTCAGTAGCCAGGTTGTCGTAGAATTGTCTTTTGTCCTTCCTGGCACTCTTCTTCACTTCTTTGTCCAGTGCTGTGTAAGTTGAGTTCAGCGTCTCTTTCTCTTGTCCATCTTTGCATTGAATCATTTTCTCTTTCACTTTTCTCCTCTCCTCTATTAGTATAGATTCTGTTGCTAACGTTGTATTGAACTGTGAGAATATGTGAAATAATAATGTTCCGTTGGACACATTGTCTGTATCACACCACCACTGTCTACCGCATATACATATACTTTTTATATTATATTCACTTATCTATGATCATGGTCCTTAGTCAAACATAATCACTAGAATTCTGATGCACAAGTACACACCGTTTAAAATGTTTTATTAAAAGTAGACTAATAACTTCAAGTCTGTCGTCAAGTTTTGATCACAGTTCATGTGATTTTGTTTATTATATTATGATGTCTCCTCATGACTCATGTGACTGGACAAGGCTTTTAAAGACAAGGTGTGTCCTTCTTATAACATATATGTATCTTTGTTGATTTAATGTGATTAATTTACCTGATGAAAATTTGAACCAATTTGCCGAACGGAACGTATTGGAATTGCGTATTTCGATTTCACTGAGATTTTACAAATATAATTTTTACGTATGTAGAGATAATAATCACAGATTTAAATTGAAATAGTTTAGAACAAAAACAATAATTGGGAACATAAGTATAAAACTTGGGCACTGTGGTAGAGTATAACTCCATTATAGATAAGATTTTATTTTGATAAATCACACAGTGTTGTGTGAATGACTTGATATGATTATGAGCAATAAATTGTGCTCGAAACGTCATCAGTTAATATTACTGTACAAAACTGTGTGATTTACCAAAATAAAATCTTATCTATAATGGAATAATTGGGACAGACAACTCTTCTCCATAAAGCGTTCGTCAGTCTCTACAATCATATAACCCATTAATTATAGCACACAATAGCCAGTAAAGGCAAATTAGAAATACGATAGGAAAGTGTATCGCATGTTTCAAGTACAAAACGGAATAATTTTCAGTAATTCCATTATGGGTAAAATTTATTTTTCAAGTATTGGTTTTGTAGGGATTTTGTTTGATTGCATGGAGGATTTCATCATGAGCTGACTGACATCAGTTAGAGAACCACTGGAAAACCTGGGAGTACTGGACAGCTGTTTCGTCCTAGTTTGGCACTCTTCAGTAGTATGCACCCGCCGGGGTTCGAAACCAGCACCTTCTGGTTAGAAGGCGAGCTCGTAGACCATTGAGCCACTGGGACCCGACAATCTGACTACCCCCGACCTACTACTTTGACCAATGTAGTTGACCTAATTCACAGTCATTGCAAGGTATTTCGTAAATTATATTATTTTGTCTAATTGGGTCTACTGGGTCGGAACATAAGAATTTAGCTAAGGTAAGAATGGTTGACCGCGAGAAGATAAGTAATTTAGAAAAAAGATCATCAATTGCACTGCATGCATTGACACACAACCACACAATAGAATAGGAGAGGGTTAAAATTTTAAGAAGTAATATATGTAGGTGGAGAGAGACACATTGATTACTGAATCCTTGTTCATCGAGTCTACACCCAACAGGTGAAATAGGAATGACTCATCACTCATACCGTAAATATGGAAATACTACTACCAATCAAGTCAAGCGATGAAAAATAATGGAATTATATAAACGAAGTTAGAAAGTTGTGAGAATACCTTGATAGGATTATGAGCAATAAATTGTGCTCGAAAAATGGTCATCATTAAATATTACTGTGAGACTTTATCATAATAAATTTTACCCATAATGGAATTATGCTCTACCACAGTGCACAAGTTTTATTCTTATATAATTGTCAGTAAGTATAAATCCATGTAAAATGTATGGTCCATACGAAAGTGGGATAAAGTCAAATTAGAAAACAGAAAGATTGAGCAAAGAAATATTTACTTTTCAATTAGATCCTCGTCTCCGGCTCTACTCTAATATATATAGCATTTTTATTACAATACACAACAGTTTACCAATCAAGTGGCGATATGTTTGTTAACAATAATTAGTCAGTGTCTAATTGAGGATCTAATTGAAAAGTAAATATTTCTTCGCTCAATCTTTCTGTTTTCTAAATGTCTAAATGAAGATTTTTTCTATATTGAAAGTCAAATTAAACAATGCTGCGATGTGACTGTGTATTTAAAATCGATAAAAAGTATCGATTTCAACGGGTGAATATAGTCATTGGCATGAGAAAGAATATGAATACCACGGATGTAAGTTCAAGTAGTGACAAGTAACAAGAAAAATGATGATAAAATAATGACGATGGAGTAGTGTAAACACAAAAGTACTATTAGTGAACGATGATCAGATAATGAAGAATTTAGTAAAGTGGAATGAAAATGATTGTATAGATACAATAACAAATTTGGAAAGCATTACGTTAATTCAAGGGTAACAGATATGAGAATATAGGTTATGAAAACGTAAAAGGTCTGGAGTAAAACTTCATCGGTGAAACAACGGAGAGGAAGGAAAAGAATGCGATAGGGATTGAAAGTGTTGATTACCAATATTTTTGAAGGATTTGTTGACTTTATTGTCGGCCAAGATAAACAGGGCGGTTAGACATATTTTATTGGATACAGAGATTAGTGTCTTCTGGTAATGACTGCTACTGATAGAAGACGAAGTCGAGCTATTCTGGATAGATTATCCGGGACACGGTAGATCATTGAGAACGTGTGCTCTGGGTTAATCGGATATCCAATATCCATCAAGTGGGCTAAGTTCACATTATTTATACATTTGGTTGCCCCAGCACACAACCATACATGTAGGTGTTCTCGTAGGTGCTGTAGGACACTACGCTCTTATCTGCTTCAAGAAAAGCATATTATACTCAGGAAACCATAAAAACAGTTGACAGATGGAGAAATTCTAGTAATACGCATTGGAGAACAATGCATCATTTTGCGAAGCTCCTCTATATTAAAGGCAAATGCTTCGTTAGATGATTGGAGGCGATCGGTAGGACGCCTTAAACCTAGATTCCCTGGTTTGTTGGCGCTCGTCAGCAAGGTGTATCTGCAATCTTGAAATAACTTATATCCCTTCTGATAGAATTCAATCTGCACCAAACCGAGAACTACATGTGTGCCATTGCTTACTACCTGGTGTCTTATCAAAGTGTTCATTTCAGTCATAGAAGAGGTCAGTCGCGAGCACAAACAGCTAAGTGGTACCGTCTCTGACTTCAACACTGAGTGACCTGGGTTCGAATCTCAGAAGGTACATGAATCTCTTCAAGATTGGAGAAACGCCTTGCTGACGAGTGCCAACAAATACGAAACCCAGGTCTAAGGCTTCTTACCGATTGTCTGTTACCATTTTAAAATAACAATTCAGAAAGCACTGGGATAACTAGCCTCCTAGGATGGTGGCCACATTGCACACTTGACTGATAGAATTTAGTCTGCACTAGACGAAGAACCTGACGTATAACCATAGTTACTACCCAGTGTAACATGAAAGATAACTTCTTTAAAATTATTTAATTTCAGTCTATTTTAGTTTACTAGTTTGTAGTAGTTTCAAGGAGTGAATTCTTGTTTCCTCACTCGACAACAAAAGCTTTGATGATGAGATCGATCGATATGCCCTTAATATCCGTTCCCATATCTTATTTTTACCAGTGACCAATCAGGAAACCTATTTACTCATTTTCATTTTAATAGGGATGATATGGGCAACTTATCTTAAAGTACTGAAAATTCCCATTGTTAAAATTGAAACAATACATATAGGCAAACGATATTATTTTCAATTACATATATATATATATATATATATATATATATATATTGATCAATAATGGCTGGTCAGTGCTATAAATGTTGTCATTTATGCCGGTAATAGCAACGATGACAATAATAATAACAATAAGAACAATACCAATAGTAACTATATTGGGAGTTAATTCAGGTGGCGATTAAAACAATAATGAAAACAATATATGTAGATATTTCAATAATTAAATTAGGTCAAAATCTGATAAAATTACACGCTGTATAATGCTAGAAATGAAGTGAATAGATAACCAAAGTATAAATGTAAGTAACAGTCTAATGAATATTGATTATTCAAAAGTAATTAGTAAAACAATGTGTATGTTTTCCTTCTAGTTGAAGTCTAACCCAACCATGACTACCCATAAAGATACACTGACGTCAGCGTCATCATCATTATCAACATCAGTTCCATCGGCTCAAGCAACATCAAGTAGCAGTACATCTAAGTCAGAGAAATCAACAAATTTAAAACGCACAACAACCTTGAAATCATTGAACACTTGAACAAGTACAACTTAAACAAAAAACAAATAACTTCTCATCTTAAAATGTGATATACCATAAACTTTATTGCCGTTTAGCATACAAAGATGACTATAAATTTCTTTTTCCCTTTTTAATCCGTTTTTTTATTTTTTACCAAATTAGGGTATGATTTGTATCCGAGCACCATGTGATAAATATTATATGTTTGTTTATATTCATACATTCAGCCATACATATTTTAAATGATTCTGCAGTTCTTTATTTTCTTCTTTTTTTCATTTACTGACGAATTAATGTAGAAAGAGACAAATTCATTATATCATGACATAATACATCAGTTTTTAGCTTCTTCCTTTTTTTGGGGATGACAAACGCACAGATTCTTCTTCATTTCGTTTTCATTTTCATACTTCCCTCCTTTCTTTTGCTTTTGAAAGTGTTCACGTTGTTTTTATTTCGGATTCTTCTTATTCTATACACTTTATATTTTCACATTCAAGTGTATTATTATCTAGGAAGTGTAAAAGAACTATGTAAAATTAAGATATGATTATGTGTAAAAGGGGGGTAGTAGGAGAATTTTATTCCAATTATGAACTTACAAAAGTCAAATCCAAGATAGATACCTCTTTGTTTTTAGTCTTTACAGTAGTTTTCTTAACTTCGATAGATATTTTTTAAAAAACTGAAGCAAATGTATGAAATAGTTAGTAGTAAGTATTTAGTTATTCACTGTGTAAGTTTGTAATTAATCAACACTTTTGAAGTGTTACAACCTCCTTACTTTACTGTTACAACATTTGTTTCATTATAACTTGAATACCTTGTTATGCGTCTATGAAGGTTGATAGGAAATATTTATACATTCAAGTTAACCCTAGTGTACGATTTTGCTTAGACTTACGGAAAGACACGGATACGACAGGCTAAAACTTAATAGGAATCAATAAAAGGAATATATTTTCGTGATCTCTTCATTAAGAAAGAGAGAGAAAGAGAGTCTGTTGTCAATCTGATATCGAATGTCTTGATTAAACTGACTACAACTAAATTTCAGTATTCATTATGCATAGGGTGCCATTCAGTTACCAACATCATATCCGTACGAGCTATGTAGTACAATGAGATTTTATCATTGAACTCATAATCTACAAGAACCATCCCCATGTACAATGAATATTGATAATGGTACCAATAAGTCTCATCAATCGGGATGATAATACGTTTTTTACTGATAGTGACACGGTAATTAGATTTAAGGATCTCTAATTCTTACAAGCCATGAGAATTAAAATCTCAGTGTTCTTTCTATCATTGATTCACAGCTTATCAGTGCACTTTATGTAAGTTGAAAAAAGTGATATTGTTGGTATTAGATGATTGGAGGCAATCCGCCACAGGAAGCCTTCGAACTAGGTTTCGTGCTAGTTGGCACCCACCACCAGTTAGCAAGATGTATCTTCAACCTTGAAGGAACTCATGTCCCTTCTGTGATTCGAACCCTCATCACCCAGTGTTGCAGTCAGAGACGTTAACACTGAGCTAGCTATTCGGACTCGCGATTGACCTCCTGTAGGATTGTATTGGATATTTTTGATTGGACACTAGTCAGTAACTAGTGTAGTGTGTCTAGTCCTGTCTTTGGTGCAAACTGAATTCTATCAGTCAGATACGCCTTGCTGACTACTGACTGGTGAATGCCAACTAGCACGAAACCTAGGTCCATCGCTTCCTGTGGCCGAGTGCCTCCAATCATCTTATAATAACAGTTCAGAGTGCACTGTGATAGTGAGCCACCTAGCGTGGTGGCCACATTGCAAACTTTACTGATAAAATTCAGTCTGCATCAAATATAGGACCAAATCAAAAAAGAAGTGATATGTACAACATTTGTTAGCATTTCAGTAATAGACTACTCACCAAACACACGTGTTTGAGGACTGATCCCCGACTGGCGCACTTCTTAACCTTGCCTAGTTTACTGGCCGATCATAAATCTGGGAAGGACTGCAGGTTGGGGATGTGAAGCTAGCAACACCACCACTAATAAAAAAACTCAAAGCTTGAAGAGCCCTATGTTCCATTCGAAACTCAAAGAATGATAAAGCGTACAAGATGATGATCGACATAAGTGAAACTGAGATTTCCTCTATGAACACATCCTGTTTTTCAGTGTGTAATTTGTTATAAATATAAGTTTTATGAGTAATCTCCATCCAGACACATTAATGAAAGCAAAACACGCAGTTTAGCGAAGAGGCTCTTTTCGGCGAATTCATTTTCCCCTTTAATTGTACAATCGTATGTATACACAACTTTTTCATAAAAGAGAATTGTAACAAAAGTGATGAGTTGTCACAAATATAGTTTTTATTGTTAGTCACTACATAAAAGAAGATGAATAAGTGTATTAGAGTTACGTAATAAGATGAACAATTCAATGAATGAGTTGTAATCAGGATGCACATAGAAACGAAGGAGAATATGGAGTTATGTAAGAGTTCTAAAGAAATACAAGTGTTACTAGGAGTTAGAAAAACAAAAATCGAGCCAATAGAAATCAACAAGGTTTTTACCATGATAGTAGAAGAGATTGAATAATTTTCTTTTGTATGCATAACTCCAACTTTTCTAGATGAATGGCTAAAGCTTTATCAATACAAAGAAGACGAAAGCGTATCGCCTTTTTCAGGTTAATGTCCTTCACTTTTTAGATTACTTTGAAGGTGGAGGTGTTTGATGAGATGGAATGACTAGTAGTGACAAGATGTTCGATTATCGCACTCCCTATAGAGCAACTACTACCTTTCTGCAGCTATGCAGGGAAGTGTTACCGAACCCTTTTAGACGAGATACGCGTCGAACGACCAATGTACCTGGGACCAAAGCAACACGTGAACTGATAGATGAGCACAGAAGTAGTCAAATACGAGATCTTGTCTTTAAGGCTTCTGCAGACCAGTGAACGACTGGAGAACACTACTCTTAGCATTGCTGCGATGAATGTTCCTTGAAATTACAAGAAGTATTGAAATATTGCGAAGTGGACATATCACGTGGAGTCACACTGTGACTTTCGTATTGAATACCCCATACTGATACACCTGAACAAATTCTCAATCATCATAATTATCACAATCTACTCAAAGATCTTATATTTGGCCTACTTGATAGTAACAATAATAATAGTAATAACGATATATGAGCGAGGGGTACAAATTTATTTCAGTTAAGTGTGTGAGAGAATTTCGATAAATTTTTTTTAAATGTTTACTATCAATTACCATGCAATTATTTGTTTGAAATCAATTCCTAATCAAAGTTGAAATCAATCAAACCCCTGAAAAACAACACTCGGAAATTAATGTATTACTCACTACTACTGACTAGCTACAGGATGAAGTTGTCATAATTTCTGGTGGAAAGTCATGACTAACGAGGTTCTTAAGGTCTGGTGTGCGGACAGTTACTCGCCAATAACAACATTCGATGATGAACGCGCTATATATCGCACATTGCGACACAAGTTAAAATTCAGGGGCCACTAGATTCCACATCCCAGTGAACTGAATGGTTAACAGACTCACCTCGTAACCTGAAGGTCCTAGGTTTGATTCTCATTGTGGTCATAAATGCATACTGATGAAGAATCCTGGACTACGATGAAACAATTGTCCATTAGTTCCTAGTTTTCAATGATTCTCCAACTATCAGTTTTGACTGATAATAGTCAAAACCTGGCGACCTCCAACACCAAATCAACGTTGGACTCAGAAAGACCACATAGCGATAGGGTATCGTTGGCTAGGGTCAGTAGAAGACTGTCGCTCCTTCTGGAACATGTGCGTAGACTCTGATTCGTGCACGTTTATGCTTACGATTAAACAGACATCAAAAATTGTTGGCAACGAAACAGTTACGTCCCCAACTAGATCGAGACTCTGAGTCCCTATTTAAGGAAGAAATAGCGAAACGAGTACCTGAGGTCGACAGCAGTACTCTTTCTGAGGTAGCCTGGCACAACATACAGTTAGCTGTAGACACAGCTGTAAAAGCCGTTAATAACCTGAAATCTAAAGGTAGTAAGAGCCATTGAATTTCTACTGCCTCATCCGAACTGGTAGACGCAAGAAGACTGATTCCGGCGAGCTCCGATTATGATGAGGAGCGAAAGCTACTCAAACGCAAACTAACAAGAAGTCTTCACAACGACCGTGAGCATTGGTGGGCGACAAAAGCGAAAGAGATGGAAAAGGCATCGGCGATTGGTAACACCAGACAGGGAAACAGGTGGTAGGTAAAAGGCATATGATAAGTGAAACAATCTCCGAGAAAAATGGCACCATAATTAGCTCTCACAATATACGACTGGAACGTTGGAAAGAACACTTTGAGGAGCAATTTAACTGATTTACAATCACGCTCAACTTACCTATTATCCAACACCTTCCTGAATGGGATATAGACACAGGTCCTGTGTCCCTAACTTAGGTTACTAAGGTTGTCACTAGTCTGAAACGAGGCAAAGCAGCAGGACCTGATGGAATGACTCCATAGGCCTTAAGTACGGTGGAGACAGTTTACTGTCTGCGTTAACTAAGGTATTGGGCAGCGTCTGGGAATCAGAGATTGTCTTGTCAGGTTGGTGTAAGTCATTGATTATCCCAATATACAAGAAGGGAGACAAGTCTTCCTGTGATAATCACAGCGGGATTAGCTTGACTAATATGCTATCTAAAGTTCTAGGCTCAATAATCATGCGAAGACTAAGCGGTTCACGGGAGGAACAAACACGAGTGAACCAGGCAGGCTTAATACCAGGAAGAGGGTGTGTCGATCATATCTTTACCCTTCGACAGATTCTGGATAATTACCGGCGTCCAACAATCATTATATTTCTTGACCTAAAGGCGACATTCGATTCTGTCGACCGAGAGGTACTATGGTGATGTTTGTTTGTGAAAGGAATACCGAGAAAATACATTGCACTGACCAAGGCACTCTACTCGAACTCATGC